TCTGGACTGGGTCCGAAGCTGGGGTCGGTTGGTCGGTAGTCGGTGAGCGGCCGGTGTGTGGCGGCTCGCTGCAGGTCAGGCGGTCTGACCAAGTCGACCGGCTTGCAGAGTGGTCTTGGGGAGTAGGCTGGCGACGGGATATTCCTCCTGAGTAAAAACGAATTGTCTCGGATCTGCTGTGGCAAATCTATCGGCTTCTGTCGCGGCCCGAACCCGATCGGTTCCGACGGCTGCGGCTCCGCTGCTCTCATCTTGTACTGCACCATTGGTGTGTTGACCTGTGGTATTGCTTCTACCGTCTCAATTGTGCGTGCACCCGGGGTCGATCTTTCGTAAACACCATCTGCGGTGAGACCGGCCTGACTTGCCCGGCTGCCTGTTGTTCGGCTGCCTGTTGTTCGGCTGCCTGTTGTTCGGTGACTACTGTTGGATAGACGCCTCCGCATCGCGCCTGGCGGTGTGTCCGCCAATCCGCCTCCAGATTCGTCCCAAAGCATTTTTAAATTCTCATGGGAGGAAACTCGGAGCTTCCCGCAGACAAATCCACTGAGACTTCTAGCGGATCCAGCGCATTTGTCAGCAACACTGCTGGGGACGCGGCGGCCGGTGTTGGCCTCAAGGACTCCGAGGGCCGTGTGCGCGAACCTGCACACACGTGTGTGCAGGCCGCCAGCGGGGAGGCTGTTTCTACGCGGCTGACTAGAGCGCAGAACAGTGCCATTGCCGAGTTGATAAAGATGACGGACTCTAGACCTGGAGCATTCCTGGTGAACTTTATTGAGTACGCGCAAGTGTGTCCCGATGGACTCGCGGCTCTGGAGCACGTCGTCGAGTTTTTAGACCGTATCGCGGCCGCCAAGCTTGCCACCGGTCCGGCGTCCTCCGACCCGGTCTCCGGATCTGGCGGCAAGGCTCCCAGCGACAAAGGGTCTGAAGCGGGTTCGGAAGTTGAACCTAAGAAGAAGACAGCCTCCAGCTCCCGAAAGAAGGGGAAGCAACCTACTACCGAACCTCTCGCCACTACCACCGCCGGCACCACCGCCGCTACGAGCACTACCACAAGTCAGGGCGGGTTGGGAGGTGACTGTTGGTTCCCAACGGAGATGATTTGGAGTCGTGAGAGCTTGGGCATATCGGAGCAGCACTTTTATTCGCGGACGGACGGCGGCGCAGACAAGGCCAAGAAGCCGAGGCATCTGGCGCTCAAGGGTTTGTCTCAGTGGTTATTCTATGTGGTATCTCGAGGCTGCCTCTGGGAGCCGACCCGGTTGGAGCCTGCCACGAAAGAGTTTACTCAGGAACTCGGTTCGCACTATTCGCTCCACGTGTTTCTGGAGGACGGAGCTGGCTCCACTTCGGGGTTATGGGCGAATGGAACGCGCGGCTCCGGAGCCTCAAGTACGGCAAGTTCGCTTAAAGCGTTTGGAGGCAATTTGGCGCGAGACTTGGCTGCTTGGGTGCAGTTGACCAAAGGCGACCCGCGAGTGGCGCTGCTCTCGGTGGCGTATCGGAGTTACATCGACTTCCGTGGGGCCTTTGGCGGCACAGGTCAAGGCTTCGGTGGGGCGGGGGCGCAGTGGGAGTTCCTTCTGACGTTAGCTGTGGCTGGCGCGCGTCAGGAGAGCGGCGATTGCGAGTTGGCTCTGCAAGTCATTCAGCAGACACCGCTAGCGGTTGCGCGCGCCCCCGGGGACCAAGTGAGCAAGGGAATGCTACCTATAAATTCGCTCGACATCATATGGCAGCCGACAGCGGCTGGTTCCATCCGCGACGCCTTTCTGCAAAAGGGACCAGACAAATCGATACGTCTGCCACCCACAACGGGTATACCACCCACAACGGGTGTACCACCCACAACGGGTGTACCACCCACAA